TATTACTATAGACACAGAATAAGTACTGCCAAGAGCTATCCTACACTCGAACCTCACAGGTTTTACAGCTTGTAGATATTCAATCCTTTATTTAAGTCCATAGAGGTAGTTATTGTGTCATTGTGTACCACAAAATCACAAAGAATGTTCACAAAAATGTTAATCTAATAACACATGCAAGACGAAAACCATTCTATTTTAATTGATTAAGTTACAAATGTTGTTTCCCTAAATAACTGCTTAAAATTAACATGTAAGCCCTAAGTAGTGAAATATAATGCTGTTCAATAGTGTTATTTGTTGAAAAGATTTTAACAACATTTGTACAATCAATATTTTTAAAGTTGGGTAAACAATAACCTCTGTCGATCTAATTAATAAAATCCAATGAATTTCCCAAACGATACTGCCACTTATTTATTTATAAGTGTTAGCTGACAGACATGATTCGTTATCATTCTTTTCGCGTTAAGTGAACTGATTAGGTTTTCATTCCCTAATGAATTACTGGCAAAAACTGCTGACTGATAGTATAGTTTTGGCTGATGTTTTGGCGTACGTGCCACTAAGCACACTCGAGTTTGCGTAATTTAGTCCTTATTTTGTAAAATTAAAATCTATACTATTATTTTCAAGCAAATGTATGTATAGTGTAATTTTAAATATTTCATAAAGTAATGTGTACTAGATGATGGACCAATGTTATGCACAATATCTATAAGAGCGAAATTAATTTTGATAATGTGAAATGTAAACTATAGAAAAAATAGAACTCCAAACACAGGCCTAACAATTTAATTGTTTATACAATAAATTACGATTCATAAGAATGAAAAGTAAAATTAAATGAATATGCCATTGAGTAGTAAGCATCAGAGTTGGCTCTGAAGAGAAAATTTCATACCAACATTAATATGTAATTATTTATACGATAAATCAAAATAAACTTGACGCCTATTTATATTAAATAATTTATTAAACTTTCTGCCCTTATTCTAAATTAAATACAGATAGACTCAACTGTAACTTTGTAGTGTAGGCTTAATTGTGATAAAAGCATTTAAAACCTCATTATGGTGAGCGAAAAAATAAGGTTTGGTTGACTTTGCCTTACTTATCTGTGCTGCAGCCATGTTATATATTGCAGCTAACAGTGACGGGTTTAAATGCCTTCTTTATAGTCATCAACAGACTGTTTTAGCTTTAATGCTACCTACATTTGAACATACAGTATTACATAATCGTATTGTTGCCCAAAACTGAGTAAATTCCGCTGATTTTGAACAAAATTTTCTGATAGTATATATTAACGAACACCTAATTGTCCTAGATTCTTAGAACATATAATTTAGAAGTAACAAAACAAAATATTTTTGAATAGTATTTTATGAAATCTACAACTGACGAAATGATTGAAAAAATAGATTTTCCCTGTAAAGTTGGCCTATAATCTACTTTCTTGTTTAGTTTTAAATTAAAATTCGAAGCACAGGAGTTTATCGAGGCACAAGTATTATTACTATCACAACAAATAATATCGGATTAATATTTATTAGTGTTGTGCAATTTATAGACAACTTACAGTATATCTAAATTTTGTATTTCTTCGTCTACATGTCTACAATCATTAATGTGAACAAAAAGCGAATTTGATAAGCAATGGTGTACGTGCGAAAAGGCACAGCTTGTGCGAAGTTTGGACCCTTGAATAGCACATGTTATCATAACTGCTATGAGATAGTAGCTTTGCCCAGCTGATGGTGTGTCACCTTTCTGACATCTGATACATAGATCAGGGACAAAGAAGAATCTTGGCGATTATCATAAAAACTTTGTTGTTTGAGTTTTTAATCTGATGACTTCAAGTGATTGGAAAGCATTAAATACATTTGTTTACAAGTTTTACGTATAAAGGAGAATATTTATAAATACAACTAGATTGTACCTGTCAAGTTATCCTACCTAGGGCGAATGTTCTCAGAGGAAATAATCAAGTATTTTTTTACTCCAGAGCTGATGAAAAAGCCCAGGAAATAATACAAATGTTCGTGTTCTATTAAATAATTGTCTTGCATTAAAAACATTCTTAAACATAAGTAACACTTTTTACCATACCATAAAACTTATTTAACTAAAACCTACAAAAAATAGCGTCAAGTTTTTTAAAAGAAATAACAATAATTCAGTTTCATATGATACGAAATTATAAAGGGTTCATGTACTAATAAAATTTATCTGCATTAAATAATACGTTAGATTTTTGAAAGTTTTGTGTAATAATGAAAATTGTTATCGGTGTCACTAAAACTACTCGAATATTCGGTTATTAATCCATAACCTAAATTAGACGTAAACAATAGGAATCACATTATTTTGCGCTATATGCAATCTATCTTAAACATATAAAATCTTGTTCAATGTTTTGCCTGAACACCAGAATAATACCAAGTTTTGAAGATTAAACGTTAATTTAACGAAACATGTGTTTGCTTGTCACAAATCAAGCCGGATAGAGCTATCTCTTAACCATTATAGATAATAAGTCTCATAAACATATTTCGAGATTCGGAGGTTAATTTGGAGGTTAAGCATTTACAAGTTTGTATCTTATTTACGGTTTAAATTCTGCTTTGTCAGCAAATTTTTCACAGCTCGTTTATTTTAGTTAGACAGATATGTTTAAATATAAATTAGGAATTATCAGTGATAATATTTAACTACAAAAGGCCTGAGTAAAAGTTTAAGGTCAACTAGTTTAAATGGGTCGATCGACAACTAAAATGATAAAACGAATCTACGTGTTTAAGCTTTTTCATTTATAAAATAAAACTTCAATGATTAAATAAGAGATTTACGTGAATTTGTTTATTTTATGTGAATTACTTTACCTACATATACATTCGTCATGCCAAAAGCTTATTCATCAAAGTGTTTACAGAATATCTTTTAGACTCACTTGTTAAAATTAAAAACTGACATCTACAAATAGTTTTAGAATCAAGAGCAGCACAAAATTTTTTATGACGGATAAAGGCTGTCGTGTAAATTTGTGACCAAGAAATTCCACACTGCCTAGTTTCGTTGCAAGAGTAACATTGTAAAAGCATTCAATACTGTACGTCACTTAATAACGCGTGTTTTGTTGTGTTGTAAACTTGGATGTTGAGCTAGTAACGAACTATCTAGTAGTATTTTGTTGGGAAACATTAGAATTTTTTGTAACAAAAGGAGTCAATAGGGCTATAAAAGATAGTTTCAAAGTTTGTAGTCTAAGAACTGTGTGCATTAGGTAAATGAGACTTTACACAACAGTAATGAATACATTCAAATTAAAGAAAGAATTTTAGTACATAATATCACGATTTTAACGCAATTTCCAGATACAATCCGACCACACATTACGTACATTTGTACATAATGTGTACAGGCTTGTCCTGATGTACAGCGCAGCGCATTGTGCGTTGCAGTACACACTACACAGTACAGGGCTGTTCTGGCAGGTCTAGGGTCGCCCTGTAGGGGAAGCCACCTCCTATTGTGCCATTAAAGATGGCGTCCAGCAGCTGTTTCCCCTATGGGAGAGGGGGCCTGTGACGTCATGCCTTTTTGTGGCATACGGCCATTTTTCAATCTTTCAATAAGGTTTTGCACAAGGCCTACATACGAGTGTTGTATTAAAGAATGTATCTGGCAGGTGCGATGGGGGTTGGTTTAGCGCCGTGCCGCCAGGAAGGGTTAAACTTTCTTGGAGGGTGGAGGGTGAAACTTGTGGAATAACAATGACGACTAAAAGGCAACGAGATAGTAAAGTTAATATAATTATCTGCGTGTCAAAATATGAGGACCAATTACTTGAGTAAAACTTAGGGGTATATATTTTTTGTTCAGCTACTAGATGAATCAGTTTCAAAACAATTCAAGGTGTTCACATAAGACATTTAAGGGGATGGTGAAGGTTCTCAAAGTATAACAGTAATCCATCATAATTGGATAGTACATTTGTAAATTTAATTTAAAATTTTACTAGATCGAACATCATGGTTGTAACTATTGAAAATCGCAGCAATCTTTAGTTTAGGTAATTGCCCCAATGCAAAGATATTAAATATATTTAATTACATTATCACCAGCGTTTTATGAAACAATAACGTCTATGATATAAAAAAGTGAATTATAAGTTATTTAGGTAAAGGTTTACTCTTACGCCTACGAATTACTTGGAAGAGCACTAAAATATTGAAACTTGGCGTCGATTGAGTCATATTAAAAGCTCAGACTATCCTAATGAACCTTGGTGACCTTTTCATCGATGCAATTTATGGTTGTCTAAAAACAACCGAGTGATAACACTTTGGCCTCTGATACAGCTGAGATTGTGAGACATCGAGTAGACGAACGTGTTGTGAACAGAGAAGTGTCATCACGATAACTTGTGATGTTATGCAGCAACATCAGTGGGAAAAATGGACTATAAATGGATTAGTTTGGCGATGACCTGATTCTATGTTACGATTTGTGTGAAAATAGGTTTTTGTCTATTCCACATATACAGAAGTAGTTTCTCGACATTTACTAATGAACAGAATTTAAATCCACGTTTTTTCAATATTTGAGAGCGAGGGCAAGGCTATGGTATTTACAAAATAGCATATTTACAGTTAAGATAACATAGATATAGATATAGAAATGCTTCCTGAATCAAACCGGGTAGTCGATCTGGTGGACTACGTATGCTATTTTTGTTCTGATTTAGCAAAACAGTAGCATAGTCTTAGCCTGTAAGAATCTTGTAAGGGTAACAATTGTTGTGTGTTCCACAGGCAAATGTTTCCCCAGATGAAGTTCAGAGTCTCTGGCTTGGACACTAAAGCGAAATACATTCTGCTGTTGGACATAGTAGCGTCCGATGACTACAGATACAAATTTCATAACAGGTAGTGTTAGAAGCACGTAGTCTCACCTCATTTTAGTTTCGTTATTTCTTTGTTTTGTTCTTTTAGGCGCATGTTCCCCGCCTACAAAGTCCGAGTTATGGGGCTAGACAAAAAGGCCAAATACATCCTCCTTATGGACATCGTGGCTGCAGACGACTGTCGATATAAATTCCACAACAGGTAGATACGACATGTAGTTTCATTCAGCGCATGTAGCATGCCCATTTGGCCTTTTTGGACTGTCCCTGCCTACCCAGGTCCCTGCATGCTTTTGTAGTTGGTACAAAGTTATGTAGTGCTAGTGTATTTGTTTGTATGGCCGTACCTGCTGAAGGAGAGTCGGTCCCCTACATCTGTTCTTCGAGATTGTACACAATTTTGTAAAGGGGTTATATGTATACTCCTGGAATTTTATACGGATTTAGTAAGAAGCTGAGTTCTGTGGATAGCTGTGAATATTTGAAAGGTATTCACAGTTTACGTTATGTACATTTACGTAACTTTAATGTAATACTGACGTTTGAATTTGTATAGTTACACGTATGTTACAGGGTAGGTTTTACTTTACAAAACATTGTTACTTATTAACAACGAAGTTATGCTTTATTTATACTGACATCACACTATACTTATAGATAAAAGATCATTTTTGTTTAATACAGTTATATAAACCACTGGATAGATATTCTAAAGAGTAATCTACAATATTAGGTTTAATCAAATATCAATTAAATCAAAACCTCTGTAGCTTATAAATTGGTGTACAAAAGTATTGTTGTTCAATCTAATTCCTCTTTTGTGTATTGTATATGAAAAATACGTGTAAATGTATTTGATCCCTTAAATACAAAAGGGTTTTATCAGACTTTAAAATCATAGAAGTAACGTAAACTGTCTAGGGTTTTATATCTAGTGTCCAACGCTTGACACTACGGAACAATCCTACTTTATAAGACTTGGTACAACACTAGAAATGTTTATTTAAGTAAAAGTTAACTAACTTACTATAATATTAACATCTTTAGTATTTGTTGTAAAAGGACTAATTATCATTTTAACCATAAAAATTATAAAATAACTTGAAGCACGGGCATAATTAAACTAATTATTAATAATTCGCTCACATTATAATCTGTTGAACTAACCAACTGAACTATAAAAGTCTACACGTTTTTTACCTTATTTTCTGGAAATATACGTTTGAAATATATTAAATATCAATGCCTGTTACCTTCCTTTTGATGATCCTTTGCAGTTGCTGTTTTATGGAAAAAAGGTGTGTGAAAACTAGCTTCTTAAAAGTACGAAGAAAATGTTTGTTTTCTTTTCCCTTGCCATACTTCATATTCACGAAGCATATCAGTAGATTTTCTGAATCCTAGAATTAGCAACTTCAGACACAATATTGTAAACATTCAAACTTTTCGCAAAGTTTAAACTAATATTTTCTTCTAATACTTTGTCCAAACACTGTGATTCAGCATATCTTATTCAACATTCGATACGTAACGAAAAGGAAAATTACTTTTCTAGGAAAGTGTACAACCTGGCCGCGATGTAGACGGATAGATTAACTCGTTGACGACTAGTGCAAGAAATACAATTATAAATAAAACAGGTCCAGTCAGGGAGGCCCGTATGTGCAAAAACTAGCTTTACACAATAAGTACACTGTTTTACCCATCATTAAATATCATTATGTTGCAAGACCATAAGGGTACAACTGTCACTAGTAGCTGTGTTTAACATGATATCATTATTGTGCGTTTTTCGTTAAGATGGCGGCCCCACTTTGTGGTCTATTACTTTATCGAGTTAGTTTCTTAGGTATAAACATCATAAGCCAGTAACTGACAGTAATATACAATTATACAATCATCCAGTCAAATGGATGTTTCATAGATACAAAACAAGTGCCATACAAAATTATTTTTACAAAGTTAAATTATTATGTCACACTACTTATTTCCCTTCAAAATTTAAATTTCATATTGTCATATTAATCCTAAAAGAGATACAATTTTCCTATGATTATCCAGGTAAACGGACCTTTTATAAATGGAAACCAAGTGACAGGCCATACAAAAATTGTAAACAAATAATAACATATCCTTTAAAATACAAACTGCCTTTTGTCATTATATTCTAAAATTGATAAAATATACCTGTAAATGCTTAGAGGAAATACAGTTACTCAGAAATATTCCAGTCACAATTAAACAATGGTTTATGACCTACATACAGACTGATAATGTGATGCAGTTTTTAATTCTGGACTCCTGATTATTGTTTCTACTTAGTCTTCGATTCCCTCTTTTGACAGCTAATTAGGCTTTGTGTATGAAGCAATTTATTAAATCTTTTAACGACCTCATGTATATATTTATATATTTGTGGAGGATTTTTTCATATTGTATAAACCTCAGCTATCCAATCCTGTTAACTACTTTTGATGTACAGTATTTTCCGCACCACGACGAAGATCCCTGATCTCATCCCATAATGTGAGTTTTTTCTGACTGCGGTCAACCGAAACTACTTCAACCTCAACCCAAACCTCGTGATTACACCTTTTGACACAAACTGTTGGTTAAAAAACACACAAAGCTCAAAATACAGGGGACACGATGTCTGCAATTTTAGTCCTTGAGCACAATAAGTTTCGAGTGTTCAAAATTCAAAACTTTTATAAAGCAATTTGCTAAGCATGTGCTAAACGGCTTTAGAGCTAAAAAGTTAATTTTAAGTTCTAAAAGGTACTATTTTATTACAGATGGATAAATTTCTAAGTCTAAAAAGCCATACAATGTAAAATTGTTGACGTCTTTTCGAAACTAATGGTTTTATGAGTTTTACAAATTTTAAATACCAATTTTATATGTAGTTTATTTGATTGGCAAAATACCTGTTAAGCGATTTCAAAGCTTCTGAAGTTAATTGTTGGTTGTAAAAGTATTTTATTATGATTAGATAAATTTCACAAGCTCTAAACGAAGAAATAAGAAGGTTTGCAGTTACCGTGGATCGGTATAAAAACACAGTGAATCGGAAGATTATTTATCCTCCATAATGTTTTTGGAAATATATACGAATATATCCACTACTTCATATTTTTTAGCTTCTATCGTAACATTTTAATAAATGTTTCGTTTTCATAGGATGTCTAGTATATACTTATTTTTCAAATTGGTCCACTCTTGAGTGCTACAAGACAATTAATAATAAATTGATGACTGAACAAACTTATGAACTCTTTTTATCTGTACGGTACTTATGTCAAATAGTATGTACATTCAAATATTCTTCATACTGTAGTATATTTTAGAACGTAATCAAACAAATTCCTAAACCTATAAAAATTAATCCTTACCTTGTTTTCCGTTGAACTTACCATTTGAAGGTAAACTCATTATCACCAAAAATATTAACGCGAAATAATCGGAAATCTAGGAAATAATCAGGAAATACAATATTTATTCAAGAATATCCAGAAATGCCGGGTGGCGGTGGGGACGCCACAAGCATGCTTTGACCACCAAGCTCTGTCCCCCCTCAAACCACCCCTTTAATTATATAATTGTCCAATAATATACCCGGTGAAACTGGACCCTCCTAAATTGGTCATGGGACGACGAGCGATGCCCAACCAGGCCCGGCATTTTTGATTAAGGAAATCGTTAAGGATTTTATAGTTAGTCCTCATTAAACACATCCAGCGTGTTTATCAAATTGAACTGCTTGTCAGCTGTTTAGTGCCAGTAGAAATAACTTACTCCGCTTCCCTAAACTTTGTCTCCGGTGTGTTTGAATATTTAATATTTTAACTGTTATTTGTGTAAATCTGTTTTGTGAGTAAAGTATGAAAAGTGTATACAAATTTCATTTAATAATTTCAAAATTAAAAACAATTAAATGTAACAGATTAAAACTTGGTTTGGTAAAATATTGATAATTACTTGCACCGGAATTTTAAATGAAAGAAGTAGTCTTCGATCTGTATATCAATATCGCAACTTCATGACTTTAAACAACCGACAAATGTTGTGCAGTTTGGGAAAACAAAAATAACTTTTATAAAAGAGTTTGAATTTAGTTAATTTTTGATCAAAGAAGACACAATCAAAATGGACAAACAGTAGGGATTATTTAAAAATCAGAATAGTTTGTTAAATTCAAATTTAACATAAAAAGATTGCCATGTATGGTTATTATAGTATGGTTTTTTATGGTAGATATACCAGTTTTGGTATGGGTTTTTTAGTTGTCTTTTTTCTAGAAGACTATTAAAAACATTTTAGTGTGGCATCGTAGCAAAATATATCTGATAATAGAATAAGAACCTCTACAAGAACAAAAAATGTTACAAAAAGGTAGTCAAAAAATATTTAACATTTTTGCCACTGGGACTGTAAGGAAACCCCACTGTATAAAGGTTGGAAACAAGCGAGGATCAGCCATTATGTTGTCCATCTCTTAGTTTTGCCTAAAACGTGTTCAAATAAATCCATAATTGATACAAACAGTTCTATACTTACATGTCGATTGTCATATTTCCATCAAACGTAATCTTGCAATAGGGGACAAAAGAGTTAGTCAATAAAAAAATCGGCATAAAAGTTATGTAAAATAAACCGGACGTTGAACATTTTCAGTTTATGGTAAAATAAGCTTCCACAGACAATACAACCATTGACCTTTTCTCGTACCTCCACTTGACTGTAAACGGACAGTGGGGAACAATCGAGACTTACATGTATGTCTGTGAGTCTACGCCAAGTGGGAGTTTCTCTTTGGTCAGAGGAAAGACTTGGCGTCCTGCTACCTGCACTATTGGCCCTTCAAAATAGTTCCCAAGCTTCACGGTACAGGGATTTTCTCAACCCCTCACAATTACTTCCTTTTCGTTATTGCGCTCTTTTGGTTTTATTTTACTCTGGAAACTAGATGTAGTTTCCATTACCGAGGTTAGTTTTGAAGGGTTCATAAATTTAATTTGTAAGCTTCCATTTATGATTACTTTTGTTTTTTCGCGATTGTACACTGTAACAAATATGTACGCGCACATCTCTGCCAAAATGTATTAGTTATGTTTGTTTAATGCCAACTCCCTCATTGAGTTTGTTTACGTGTATAAAATATGTACTTGATATGGTGGTGGTGTTAGTGAATAAATAGTCTTTAACTATGTTATGTTATCTATACAAGGTTTTTTTTTAACTGGAATCACAATTATGGAATTATCGCAATTATTCAAATTATGTAAAAATAATTGTTAAAACTGTTCACTAGGAGTTTCAAAAACGAGAATCTAATGGTTTTTATTTGAAAAAGTTCAATACTATTCAACGTAGTTAATAATAAGATAAATTACATCCATAAATAGATTAGAGGATGCCAAGAAAATCTGGTAAGTTCTGGATGGCTTAAAAAGATAATCTCTTTAGGTCCTGGATGCCCTTAAAAGTTTCTCTTCCTTTACCCATTCCGAGTGTTTTGACCTTGATTTGTGTTCCCAGTAGGTGGATGGTAGCGGGGAAAGCAGATCCTGAAATGCCCAAGAGGATGTACATTCACCCTGACTCGCCGAGCACAGGGGAACAGTGGATGCAGAAGGTCGTCTCCTTCCACAAGCTCAAGCTCACCAACAATATATCCGACAAGCACGGCTTCGTAAGTTGTTGAATACACTCGTTACATTAGTATTAGCGGAAGTGTGTACTCTCGCCACTTCCTTAACTTGCAAGTTAGGACCAAGTTGTCCTGTCGACTGTCTCATCCGATTATGTGCTTTAGATAGGATACCGGATGCCAAGTTTCTGAATCTACTCTGACTTTAGGTAGTATATCATGCAACTTTCTGAATGCGCGAAAGTATAACTGGGTCTAGTAAGTTGTTATGCAACTTAAACACAGTTAAAATACAATAACAGTGTGATTATAAAAATAACACAGAGTGGTTATCGAAATAACACAGTATATCATTTACAAATATATTTTGAAATAAAACTATTTCAAATTAAAAAACCTGACACTTATTGAATAAGTAGGTTAAACATTTTACAATTTTAAGGAACATAAAGACATGTTTTGTATATTTCATCAGACAGTCAAAGATAAACAAATTTTGACACTACTATCTAGATTATGGATTGATATTAAACCTTTTACTAACCAATATAGAATTTTGACTAAATTAAATATGACAATTTCGAGCTGTGTGACAAATATATTCGTATATTAAATTCAAGAATAATTTCAAAGCAACAATAATTAATGTTGGTCAAATCAATTACATCCGGCAGTATTTTACGCAACCCCTCTCCTGGTTGTGATGGAGGGGGGGGGGGCGACTGCTACAAGAACAGCGGCCAGATTCAATATTTGTTTACGTATAATTGGAGCTATGGCCAGCGCAGCGAGAATTAGAATTCGCACCAGCTTGTATCAATCGGGACCCTTGTACCTCGTTTGTAGCTCTTTGGATTGGGATATAAAGTAACTTGACCAAACACTGGCCAAAAATTGTTACTGTAAATCTGTCTATCTGTCCATTGGCTGATTGGGTTTGTGAAAGTAATTTAGAAAATAACTTTGATTTATATTTAGGCATTTCAGGCATAAGCAATAATTCGTCTCATATTCTAGCTTTACAATTTGTGCGTGCATTTTCACCTATATTTTAGTGTTTTGTAACCAAAGTTACTGTTATACTTTAATAGAAATAATATGGTTAACCTATAAATACTTCATTTGCGGGATTACTTTCTTTGGATGTATCATTTTTTTTTAATAAAGGGAGGTTGGCTGCCTCTATGACCCTACATTTGCCCAACACACCAACACAGTATGTTTCAGCTAACTTATTTTATTCCCGAAATAAAGCATTATGTGAGAACACATTCAAGCAGTCTCTTCGTAACATAACTTCCGAATAGCAAAGATTCAACTGGAATGAAAGTGTGGCAACAATAAACACCGCACGAGCACTAGTGCCGCGTAGCGCGTATTTCTGAACTCTGAAATGTTATGGTTGGTGAAAGGTGTTTTGGCATTTCGTTGCATCTACAGGATTGGTGAATCGAAACCAACTGTTAACAATTCGAAGTTTTACTGGTGCCTTCAGTACTAAACAGCTCTGTGATATATTATTGGGGTGGGATGAAGGTTTATCTACTGTATGGAAGTTTTGGATAGTTTTCGATGAAAAATCCCAATTGCTCGTCACCATAGAACTGGGGTGTCTTAAGGCAGTTAGATTACGGTAAAGTCTCCTGAACATGCCGGTGGTCACCGCAGGAATAAGATTGGCTTTTGTAGTATTAAACATTCAAAAATACGAAAAAATCTGTGAATTACTCGGTGTATAAATTTATATTTCGGTATTTTTACATATTATTCCATTGAAAATAATATTTCCTTACAATATTGAGTCATGATAAAACGGCAAAATATGACCAGCAAGACCACGTAAAAATATACTTTTAGGTTACAATCGACATTTAACTGAACGTTTTTAATTTTTTAAATTTTTTTGAATAAAATTAGTCAAATTACAGATTCGAGTGTTTACACTAGCCATAACCACCAACAACCGTAGTCGCCTCGGTTTGATGGACCCATTCGCGCCAAATTACTGTTCTAACAGCCTTCCTCCACTTTATTAGCATCTTTCTTTCCCGCGTTTTATTATGTTTATTGCTGACGCTTTATGTCACCACCGTTTTCCTGGATCGCAGAAAGCAAATAGGGTTGTTGTGTAATTTCTGACTAACATTATTACTAAACGTGTGTCCGACACATAGTAGGTTTTTAGTTACTCAGTTCAAATTATATCGTGTTGCAACTGAAGTAAATGCAATAAATATCCTACTCAATAATCATAAAAAAAATATACATAAAACCCATTTGAACCACATAAACTTTCGGGATAGCGTTTTCTTTCGCCATTTAATTTTTTCATTATGGTTTAGCTGGTATATTCGTTATACACCTTAAACACTTATGTGCATTCTATAATAACTTAACTTGGACTACAGAGATAAGATTAGGAATACAGATAATTTTGGTGTTCATTAGTTGAATAATTGAAATAATCTGTATTTACCATAGTATATTTTGACTTTATAAGATATGCTATGGAAATATCCCTTTAACATCTCTTGGGTCGCCCTAATCTTTATACAGTGTGGCAACACAATCATCTCGACACTGTGTTTGTTTCTTCCCTTTTACTCGCAAGGGGAGGCAGATGGGAGTATTTTGGAAATGTTGAAGCAGGAAAGTCCAATATTTGTCGTGTGTCTATGAAAGATCAAACACTCCTCACGGGCGTTTGACTGGTGAAATGCCGGCAACCGTTCGTGCGGACACAGTCTTTATTGATATCGGCGAGTGTCGATCGACAGGTACGAAGCCAAAGTCTGTAGTCAACAAAATGAAATTCTCAAGTATGTTCTTAGATTTAAACTATTTGTGACATAGAATTTAAATTAACTTCAAAATGGGAATTTTTTGAGTAATGTTTAATTGTTTACGTTGGTAACTCTTAGTTAACTTTAAACAATTTTTCAAGATGAATTAATAGTTTACGATTTAAAAAAATGCCGTTGTCCGAGTCCTATCTATGGTTTTCGTAATGTATTTTTCAATCAATCAGCTAGTTGTCTTTCACAAATTGCACATATTATGCATTAAATATCTCAATCAACCAAATTTTTCTGTTGGTATTCTGGTATTGACTTTTTGATACTATAGTAGGAATCCGATTTATACAAACCAATTGTAGCTATTAAAATATTGAAAATGGTATAATGAGCCACTCGTATAGTTCCCACTGCGTAAATAATTGTTTTTATGAATTTTTAACCTTCGATAGTTAGTTGTATGTGACATAATAGTTGCCGCACGTAAGTTTACCTGTTCAGTTGCGATTTTACCGTCTCAGTGTTGTTAAAACATTCACACCCGATGTAAAGTACTTGTAAGCGACGCACGCTAAGCGCCAGAGCGTCACTAAGTGCTAAGTGCCGATGTTCTAGCGTGGCGTATCGCTATCGACCGACGCGACGTGTCGGTGTCCACACGCCAACATGGTTTCTTTCATGCACAGAACACACATTTTTACACGTTGTCGCTCGATGCATCGATCGTCTGATGTGCCAACTAGGGCCCAACACGCCATCAAAGTAGCTCACAATATTGGTGTATATGAACGTATGCAGATCGTTAGTATCAGCTCGTTTGTTATGAACAATGCAATACTGGCCATGTGTAAACACGCTTGTAGTCTTGTACATAAACTTGTAATCACTTGTTCTGAGGCGTGAGTCGTGTATAGAAGCGTGAGTTGGTTAGATCATGGAGACTAAAGGCGGTGACACACTATCGATCTTTTCCCCGATCAAGACCCCGAACCGAGCAGGGAGAAGGGAGAAGGGAGATAAATATCAGCAAAATTTTACTCCGAACATTTCCCCGAACATGACCAAGACCAGACGAATTCTACCGAGCGCGGCAAAAGGAAGTTTGGAGAGAGATAGAGAGTGTGTGCGAGTGAGAGCGTGGAGGCAGTGCCGTGGAAGAGGGAGGGGGTGCATTGCCTTTAATAATATTAATGTTTATATTATTTTTTAAAGAATTTAAGTCAACATCAATTACTTAATTCAACCTTAATATTATTGATATAATTGATTTAACGGTTTCTACACTTTCAACCTTGACCAAACAAACCACAAACATTACATATAAAATGATTATAATATCTAACGGCAACATATTACCCAACATTTATTTATTTTACCAATTAAAGAGTTTAATTGCCATATTAAATCAGAACTATCAATGCTAGCGCAGGCGGCCGCTCGGTGCGGCGCTCGCGACGATGTACGGGGCAAAAATGTACCGTGACACACTATCGTACATCGGACCGTACATCGGACCGATCTTTTCTTTGATCTTTCGCCAAAAAACCGCCTCCAGAGCGCTCGTCTCCCTGCTCGACCTGATGTCTGGTTCGCCGTCTGGATCGGTGTATGGACCCGTGACACACTATCGAATATGCTCCCTTCGACCTCCCTTCTCCCTTCTCCCTGCTCGGTTCGGGGTCTTGTTCGGGGAAAAGATCGATAGTGTGTCACCGTCTTTAATATGGTGCTGGGAGTCTAACAGTTTCGATTTAAAATATACAATTTGTTGTCCTAGGGCGCTGGCCTCAAGCCCGGGATCGTTTTTCACATTAATTCAGGGTAGAGCTAAGGCTTGCGACATTTTAATTTAGATGAAATCACTGGTGATTTGGCGGGGTTCGAACCCGGGATCTCAGGACCTAAGTCCCACTAGACCAGTTCGCAACCCAAAATATACCATTTGACTAGGTTAGATTACTACAACGTCGAAAGACCAGGGTGCTTTTTTCATGGCAACGATTAATTAAACATAAGTGTTAAGTTGATCAAATGACATCTTTGTTACTGAACCAATACAAACGTTTTGGCCAGGATGTTTGTCCCATGACCAAGAGCAGCAAAATCCAGTTTCGAACACTCAAAAAGCTACTCTTTAGGGTTGAACCGGCAACCTCCTGATTTTAAGGCAAACACTATAATGACTTCACAACCCATATAGCCACTAATACGCAGCTATTTGCGAATATTTGTAACTGCAGTGGTAAA